GACTGTGAGGAAATCTCAGCCTGGTTTGAGCACTGAGCCTGAACAATGGGGGGTAAAATTCACTTCCAATTTCAATGGTGTTAATTAGCACACATGCAAATCAATGTAACAGCCACAGAAAAAAAGTTATTTTGAAGGAGGTGATCTTTTCTTTTGTCTTCCATCAATATTGCATGTAACAGCAAAACAGTTTTCTCAGCAAGGAAAAGCATCAGATATTGCTTTGATTTGAAGGCTCTGTTATTCCCAGCAGGATGGGGAAGATGTGGCAAAGACAGAATGTGGTGAGCACTTCAATGGTTACATAACAATTCCCTTTTTCAAATGTAAATACACCATGACGTTCTCTGCAATGAATAAAACAGCTCATGCCAAACTCATAAACATTAAAGGAAGGCACTGAGTGACAGAACAAGAATATTCAAATAGCCACGACTTACCTGAGAAAACTTCCACTAAATACAGAGGGTCCTTGACTCTTCGAAGTCCACACACCAGAAGAAACAGATGCAAATTGTCTGTGTCTGTGGGAATGTCTGAGAAATTAAATAAATAAAATTAATTAGAGAAATAAAATTAATTCATTAATGCAGATAAAAAAGGTGAACACTCCAAACTGTTCCATGAATGAGCAACTACAGTGGGAAAAGCATTGAAGGGTGGATTGTGAAAAATTATCACAGAACAAAAACCCAAATAATTGCTGAAGCATCAGCAAAGAAATTGTTTTCCTAAGAAAGGCAGGAATAGGTACAAGTGTTATCTAAAGAGATTTTGGAAGTGTAGATTTGTTTAACTCCATCCCTCCAGGTACTAGCAGGAAAAAAAACCAAAAAAAACCAGCAGTCACAGCTGCACAATAAAAATAAATGTATTCCTGCAAATCTTTAATCTCACTGAGAGCTGCAGGCCTCGAGTGAGTAATACCAAGCATTAGTTTGCTGAGAGGTAAAGAAGGAGATTTAAAAATTAATTTTCCAACCCCTGATTTCAGGTTCACTGTTGTGTTCCACAGACCTTCAGAGAACAACACCAAATCCACATTATTGGGGCTTATTCACCCATTTTTGGCTTTGTTCTGGAACAAAATCCAAGCCCTGATGAGATGGTGAGGGGAAATAACCTTATTTTCTTTTCTGGACGCTTTGAATCACAGCAGGTCTTTTACTCCTCTTGAAAATATTTCATTTTTCCATCTCCTGAGCACATGGAAGTATTGACTGCTCTGCTAGAGCAGGAGACCCACAGGTTTATTGCTGAGATTTCAGTCCCTAGGATGGTGATTTTATTTCCTTGAGTGTGAAAGAGAGAAATTTGTCCAAGCCTGGCAGGAACCTTTGATACTCTAAATCTTTCAATTCGCAGTTTTTGTTAAGTTTATCTCTCTGCACACTGGAGGAACATCATCCATCAGCTCTTGCAGGCTCCTGGCAGATCCAGTTTGGGTTTGTGCTGTTTCCTGAGCCATCTGTACAACCCCAGGAACCCAAATTTGCAGCTGCAGGGGAGCCCCAGGGCAGCATCAGCACCTTCCCAGACTGTGACTGTGACTGGTGGCACTGGTGGCACTGGTGTGACAGTTCTGAGCCCAACCAGCCCTTATTTCAGAATTTACAGATCCCTAACACTTATCCCTGTGCCTTTTCACTTCCCAAAGCAGTTTGTTTTTTACAGATTAGGGGGAATGCAGGCAATAACTTTATCCAAAGTGTTTTTTTTCTGCTGTTCACACCCAACAGTGAATAATTGCTGATGTGTCTGTGAAGACAAGAGAAGTTCAATGAACCTGGAAACTTCCAGGGACAGGCTGCTAATCCAGAAAAATCAGGCTGCAAAACTCTCAATCAATCCTTTCTTCCCCTGTTCCTCATTATTTCTAACAGATCAGACAACAGCAAAGCTCTGTGGTTTCAGATCAGTTTGGGAACACAATTTATTGCTGCTATAATATAATTTTACCATGGCCAGCTGTATGAGTGCACAAACCTGCACAATTTTCTTAGTGGGTCTTTCTTCCCAGCACAGCTTTAGGAAAACATAAAACCTCTGTAAAGCCCTGCCTATGTCAGGCCAGGTTATGTAAACGTCTCAAGCTCTGAAAATAGCTGTGTTGTGAAGCAGAAATTACACAGGAGGAGAACAATCCTACCACAAAAGCATATTGCATATTCTATTTGCCCCTGCAACAAGCACATGATCCTGAAAGCAATCTGAAATGTTGGGTAAATGAAGATTTGTGAGTTTATTGGTGCAGACTTCTTTGTTATCTGCATTTTCTCATCAGATGATCCCTGATGTTTGTTGGGGTCTGGTCCCTGATGTTTATTGGGGTCTGCACCCCACGAGCCTCAGCCCCACTGCCCTGATATCAAAAGGGGATTTTCATCCTAAATGTTTGCTGGGGATCCCACAATCCTCAGCCCCACTGCCCTGATATCAAAAGGGGATTTTCATCCTAAATGTTTGCTGGGGATCCCACGAGCCTCAGCCCCACTGCACTGATACCAAACAGAGATTTTCATCCTAAATGTTTGTTGGGGTCTGCACTCCAGGAACCTCAGCCCCACTGCACTGATATCAAAAGGGGATTTTCATCCTAAATGTTTGCTGGGGATCCCACGAGCCTCAGCCCCACTGCACTGATATCAAAAGGAGTTTTTCATCCTGGAATGATGGCTCTGAGCCTGTCTGTGATCTCAGGGAGCTCTGCCCAGCTTTGAGCTGAGCTCTTGGACCAGGCCAGGCTCAGCTTTGTCACTGACTGATGTGGCAGTGCATTCCCAGCACAAGGCTGAACTCTCTGCCTCTCTCAGGGTTCCAATTCTGCTCCTTGATGCAGATCCCTGCCAGGAAGGCACAGGGACACACTGAGATCATCTGCTCTGATCTGCACACCCACACACAGCAAATCTCCCTGAAACAGCCCCAGTCCCAAACAGGTGCAAATGTTGTCCTTCCCCTGAATTCTGTGCTCAAACCTGCCTCAGCCCTCTGTTTAACTGCTGCTGCTCAGTCTCTCATCCACAGAGGACAAACTGTGAAGCTGACTGGTACCCAGAATGCAAATTAACTTTAAAAGCCCTTTTTTTTTTTTTTTGGTAGATTTAGGCAGTAAATGTTGACTAGCCAGCCTGTGAAAATGCTGCAGCTGGGAGATAGCAATAACACTGCACCATCACCTCTGCAACTCTCAATCTGCTGCTCAGACTGTGAAAAAAACACCAATTCCATCATTTTTGTACCGAGATTGTACTGCAGCCATAAGAACACAACAGAAACCTTTCAGAGCACTGCTCCCACCTGCAGCAGGCAATTTCTATTTACATCAAATGGAATGCACAAAAAGCTGGGGCTCCTCAAGGTTTGGTTTAGCACCACTCAAATTTGGGGGCTGGAAATCTCCGACCATAAAATTCATTTGGTGCACTCTGCCACTCACTTAAAACCACCATTAAATTCATTTTGAAGCCATTACACCAATTTCAAGAAGCTGTTTATATATTGGTGCCACATCTACCATGAGCAATGTTTCCTATGACTGAAAAAAAAAAAATCAGTACAAAGAATATTCATAAGAAATCTGTTCTATGGAAAAAAAGTCTGGAAGTGTTGTGAAGAGCCTGTTTCATTTTAAAGATTGTTTTGTTTTAAAGAGTAATTTGTCCTGAACATCAAGGGTGTTGAACAGTGATGCCTCGAATGAATTCAGTGTGCTGTTTGTTTGCATTCTGCCCTGGGAAATCTGAATTTCACCAAAGTTCAGGGGTTCTTCTGAAGGTACAGGCAAGACTTATCTGGAGAAATATTACCTCCCTCCAAAAAAAAAATCATTAAACACCTTCAGATATGAGAAATCTGCTGCTCTTTGAGCACCAGAATACAAGGAGGTGGCTCACTACAAATGCCATTTGTTCCTCAGCATCACAACATTTAAAGGGTTAGAAAAGTCACAAGGTTTAAAGGGTTAAAAAGGGTTTCAAAGTTAGAAAAGTGAACAGCCTAAATTTGCAGCCTGGAACACTCAAACCTTTTACAGACACAAACAGAACCTGACAAAACTCTCCCYTGTGTGACTGCGAGGAAATCTCAGCCTGGTTTGATCAGAGCATCATGAAAAAAAAAGTATTGAAAAAAACCCCAAAATTGGCATGAGCTGAAGGAGACTGGACARCTTTATCTGCACAAAAACTCAGAATCTCCCCAGGTAACTTCACTGTGCAATCCCACAGCAGCCAAAACACATCGTTCTGAGCTAAACTGCTGCTTTGGATGGTTCTCTGCTCAGTGCTCCGAGTTCAGCAGAGTTTCCAACACTTTGAAACTGCAAATGCCTGCAAAGCCAATTCAGTGGGAGCTCCTAATTAGTCCCTGGAAAGCACAAAGGGACAGCAAAACTGCCTCCATGTGTAACACTGACAAAAGTGGAAATGGTGGCTGCCACCAGAGATGGACACAGGCACAGGGCTGAGCAGAGAAACGAGATGAAACAGCCAGAAAAACAATCCTGAATAATCTGATGCCACTTTCCAAGTTATTATTTAATAAGGCACAGATGTTAGAGTCGCATTTGAGTTTGCTTTTAACAGACATTATGAATTATTTTGCACTTCTGCATTAGCACACATTAGGCAAAAAACTGTCTCTAATATATTAGAAATTCACTTTAGGGGGAGCTTCCCCCTCCTCAAGCTGTTGACTGCTCATTTAATCATGAAATGGTCAGACAAGAGATCAAATCAACACTAAGGCTGTGCTAGCAAGTGACAAATCATTTCACTTCAGAAAATTATTAATCTTAGTGGCACCGTGCTTGTGTGCAGTGATTTAGTGAGAACAAAATAACCTCACGGTGCTCAATTTAAAATTGACACTGGCTTTGACTAATGGCACACATTTCCTGATGTGATAATGCCATTGACTGGTGAGGATTCATTTGTAACACGGGGAACAGCTGTACCAGCACAGATCACACTGATGAATATTATATTGGAACATTTTTGCTGGGGTAAAAGGCCTATMAATCATTCTTTTGGGGGAAGATGRAGCGATTTGAGCATTGCCAAGATCRGGTGACTTGGAATGAGGTCACCTGCCATGGATGTGGGAGRGCAGAGATGGGCTCAGAGCAAAATAAAACATCCCAGGTTTTGTGTTTTTCAGTAGCTCTGCACCCCAAAAAGCACAGCAGGCTCAGGAATTGGTCAAACCACTGAACACCCACTGGAATCACTCCTGCTACCCTGGGCACACCTCAAACCTGGCACTCCACCAGCCACAGTAACCCCATTGATTTCTGCCATTTTTCATACATTTTGTTAAACTCTCAGTTTCTTTCAYCCTTCACACCTCTTAGGAATAAATRCAGTAAACACAGGAAAAAAAGAAATAGAGTTTTACCTGCATTCTGTAGAAATGTGTACCAGTCAAAGGTTTCACTGGGTGTAGTTTTAATTCCTGTAAGGGAAAAAAAAAGAGAATCCCGTGTTTAATTTTCTCTGGAGGGCTGAGCTGTGGTCCTTGAGGGGTTTTTGTAGTGAAAGAGCCATAATTCAGCCAAACACACCCAATTCCATGCACAGTGCTCCCATCTCCAGCTTTCCACACCCCAGGCTGCCTGGGCATCCCTCCCACAGAAATTCTGTAAAATCACACAGAGTTTGAGCCTGTGCAGCAGCAAAACCATGCTGAATTTGGCCTTTTAAAAATATCCATGAGAATAAAAAATATCCATGAGAATGTTATCTGAGGGAGCACATCATTCCAAAACACACCCAGAGCCCTGAACATAAACGGAATTAAATTTATACACAAATTAAATATTAATGTAGATCCTGAATATGAATGTATTTGTTTTGCCTTATGTTAAAGATTAATTATTTTAATAATGAAACTGTTTTATTAATTTATTTAATCTCTTAGTTAAGTATTACTCACAAGAGGCTTAAATGTAGACTAAATATGAGCTAAGCAGACTTCAGAATGAGTTATTTCAACAGGGCAGTTCTGAAAAGAATGTTCTTTCTTTGAAAGTGAAACGCACAAAATGGAATGAGCTGTGGAATCCACAGTTATTTTTCAATCAATCAAATTAAGATCTTTAGTAATCACACCCAAAGCACTGAGCTGAGTGTTCCCTGAGTGATGGAGCCAGGGTGAGGAGTTTGCTTGGGTTGGGAATTGAGTTTAGGGGATTTAAAGGAATTTGGGGTTTCAGAAAATCCTTATTCAGCATCCACATTCTGTAGGCTTTGGGGAAATCTCGGTGTTGCCTTCTGTGTCACCCAACCCTTCAGATTCCTGCTGGAAGGAACCCGGGAAAACTTCTGAAAAAGCCCCAAATGAGTGAAAAATGTTGGCTGAGAGACTGAAATAGTGCCTCAATTAATGCCAGTGGCAAAAATCCCAACTGCAGGGGAGCAGGAGCTCAAACCCCATCCCACTGCAGCAAAATGTGTCGGGGCAGAGAAGGCAGAGACACAAACACCCAGCACCAGCACATGAATCACAGAAATTGAATTTCCTCATCACTATTTCAAAGCTCTCACCTTGACTCTGGACATATATTTTCTTCCTGGAATCTGGCTTTAAAGAGAAGGAGAAGAAAAATAACTTTCATAGTTTAACACAAAATACCTGTTCTATATTAAAAAAAAAAAATAAAATTAAAGTAACAAAACACACATCAGTGTGGTTTTCTTTTCACCATTAAAAATCAAACTATCAGAGAGATACATGAAGTAACACCAAAAGCCAATGGTCAGCAATGTCATTTACATTTACTGTGACCATTTACAGTATCAATGAACCCATTTTGTAATTAACACAATTACCAAGTCGGTACAAATGTATTTTTTAGTTTGTCTCTGTATCCTATTTTCCTGGAATAGAAGCAGTTTGCAACTATTTAATTGAAAATCAGCTCTAGTTCCCAAAAAACTGTTGGCCTTAAAAGACCAGTTTGAAAAACCAGTGTATTTATCCATAATTAAATTTATAAACATATCAGTTTCAGTAACTGCTGTCAAATATACAGAGTTGCCTAAACAAGAAAAATGGCAACTGGTAGTCATTGCAGAACATTTACAAATAAAAATTGCAAAGTAAATTATTTTAAAATAGCTGCAGTAAAAGAAGTAATTACTACACTTCCAAAATCACTCCTGAAGTGCTACTCTGCTAGTTATTTAATTTAGGTGATTAAAGAAGCAATTTCCTATTTCAATAGCTTTCTGTAACTCCAACTGTGAATTTGTGGAATATATTTTTCTTTAATGAAAAGAGAATTATTTGAGAAACAAGCTCCTAAGCAAACAATTCCTGAAMCAATCAGCTCAGGAAATAGGAAGCCAGAGAAGTGATTTTTTTTTTTTTAAATTACAGACATTTTGGTTTTCCCTGTTGCTCCTATGTGGCTGCCCCTCAGTCCAGGCACTGCAGTTACTAAAAATGAACTGGGAAAAGAAATTGAAAGAAAAAAGTTTAAAAAGTCATCTCCAAGCAGCTCACAGATGGGAAKGAGGTGGATTCTGAGAATCAGAGGGAACAAAGTCACAGAAACAAYGGGGAAAAGCAGCAAATCCAYGTGGGAATGGAATGGRAYGGAATGGGGGAAAACAACTCTGTTGAGGAGATTCTGTGGATTTTATCTTTCAGAACCTYGATGAGCTTTTGTGTTCAAAGGATTTAAAAATAATAAAAATAGTTTAATGCATCATTACATTATTTTATTGCCTAACACTGGACCTTCTCTTATCTATAAACAAGTACCATTTTGAATTCTATTGCATCTTCTAATCACAAAAAAGCTTTACAGACAATGGGACAGCACTGCAAGCTGGAGCCACCTCCAGAATGGAACTTTGCAGTGTGAGTGGAGAGCTGGGACTGAAACAAAAACCAGAAAATCCCAGAAAAACAGAAAGTGGGAAAAGCAGAGGGGCACCGAGCCCAGCCCTGTCCCTGCTCTGCTGGCTGGCACAGCTTTCAGCTCCCCAAAAACACCCAAAATTCAAAATTTGGAATTTTGAGTGAAGGATCCTGCTCCATGCCCTGCCATGGCTCAGGGTGAGTAAATCCCACATTTCCTGTGAGGAAAATCACAGGGATAACTGGAGCAGGGCAGGGAGATGTGGCCACACTTTATAGAGCATTTACTCTGATGTTCTTTATTTTAAACGGGCTGGAGGAGAATGGAAAATGAAATTGAATGCTAATAAAACTGGCTCAGGTAATTCCTCTGCACTGGTTTTATGCTGCTGAGATAAAACACTGACCACAAGCACAAGATCTTTTAGAAYATTTTAAATTTACCTGGAATACAGATTATTACAAGTGCTGGATGACATACTTCATAATTAAGGGTAATTTATCCAATGTAATAGAAAAGGATTTGTAGGAAGATAACAGCCTTAGAGTACAGTGCAATTGCTCACATATCTGTAATTTCAATTCTTAATTGGCTGTATTAATTAACAAAGCCCCCATCAGAGGAACAAGGCAGGTCACAGCAGTGTGAGCTCACAGGCAAAAATCACAAATATCCCAGGACAGAATTGTTCATGGTATTCACTGCCTGAAAGCAAACCTGGAGCATTTGCTCTCCCCCTTTCCAGGAACTGCAGCAGAACAGGAACTCAAATCTGAGCATTAAACACCCAGCTTTAGGGTGGGATTCAGTTTAGGACTGGACAGATTTGCTCGCAGTTCCCTGTCTGCCACACCTCCAAAACATCAGAGGACAAAAGTGTTCAGGTAAAAATCAAAGTCTGGTACTTAAAAGCATTTCAGGTGCTGGTTTTGCAATGATTTCAAAGTTCAGTTTTGTTTCTTCTCCTTCCATTCTGTTCCTTTTGTCCTTTTCTTGTTGAAGATCTCTGACAGAAGCTGTGCCCTTTCACAYTCACCCATCGTGAAGTTCATTGTAGTAACTATTAAAATCAAGYTACATTTGTAAAATAAAAGGCCAAATCCTATGTCTGCTCATGTATCCTTTTAATGCAAATAGATTTTAAAAATCAATTAATACTGAAATAAGGATTGTATGTTCTACTGCTGCGTTGTGCAAGCTCCACTCTCAGTGATTATTTTTTAGGCAAGAGTGCATTCATGATTCTATTCTGATGCAAATTAGAACTGAAGAGATACCAAGCACTTGGTCTGAACTTCCTGAATTTATTGTTCAGCTCCAGCTGATGTTTCCTAAGGTGAGATGAGAGGAGCCAACACCTCACTGCAAGAGGGAGCTGCTGTCTTGCTATTTTTAYCCCAGACAAAAGGTTCATTTTTATCCCAGACAAATGGTTCCTGCTCGCCCCTCGCTGCATTTGGTGCTCGTGGCTCAGCACAGCAAATCCAATTTATCTCTGCACTTCACCTCAAGAAGTTCATTCTGWCTCCAGTGCTGGCAAAACAAGTATTTTCAAATGATACTTCAAATTTCTTTATTTCAACTCATGCTGTCTRGAGGACTTTTGTCAGCATAAAGTTTAGTAAATGAGAAAAAACCACCCAGTTTGGCATCAGGAGAGAGCCTGTACCAACAGCAATGATTGGCTGTAAATRTTCCAGGGAAACTCTTCCCAAACTSTTCTACACTCTGCTAACACTGAACAGCTCAGATCTCTCTGACCTATCCAAGCACATAAACACTAAATGCTTTCTCTGAAAGGAAAAACAAACAGAGAACAATGAAGATTATTGCAATTCTCCAGCATTATTCAGAAACCATTTCAGGAGGATGCACAGTTGCTAATACTCTAAAGCATTATCACCATCACATACCCACTCTGCTGCTGCCAGCTCCTTCATTTTCACTGTGAAAGCCACTGCAAACCTGGTCAAACGGACAAAAATAGTTGGGATCATCTGCTTAAAGTGTTTCAACATTAAAAAAAAAGTACTTCAGAAAAAAAATCTTTATAAGAACTAAGATCAGAGGCTTATAGAAATGATCCCAGATGAAAGACAGAAAGCAGGCTTTCTGTTTGTTTTAGCAGAAAATACTGAAGAGCTGCAGGCTTTACAACTCAGAGCTTGGGAAGGTGAAGTGAGGACTTCTCAAAGGAAGAGAAACCCCAAATAATGGGACCAGCCACCAGTTTATSCAGATGAATGCACACAGAGGCAGCAGAAAGTTGGCATTTCCTGCAGGAACCTTCCTCACAACCAGAACAGAGGTAAGGAGAGGGCTGAACACTCCTCATTTCATGCTGGGCCTGGACAACATCCACCCCACTGTCTGCAACTCATTTAACTGATTTTAACTCAAATGAAGAGGCATTTGAAACCTTTCCCCAGGGTTTGCTAAGCACTGGAAGCTGTCAGTGAAATCCAGCTCAGGTTCTCTGAGGAATCACTGCAGAGGGCTCACTGCACTGACGGCAGAGGCAGCACTGATGGGAACGATTTGCATTTCTGCTGTCTCTTCACCACTGAAGGTGATTCCCAAACATATTTGATAAACCAGTTATTCTAACTGGGACCTTGGTGTAATACTAAGAACCATAGGAGATATTGTTACACAGAGTTAATAAAGAATCCCTGTTGAAAAGAAAACTTAACATACTGGACTCTATTGTTCCATTACAACTTTTAAGTTTTWTCATTATTTGTAGAGATACTGAATATAAAAGAGAGGTCATCACACCCTGCACTGATGATTCAGTGTTTCTATTTCATTTATGAAACGTTTCTGTCCTCAGCCCGTGACACCTCAAAGTTAAAGCACCACACAATCACAACCACAACAGTGCTGCTCCACTGGAGATGTTACATTATCATCTCAGGACATGAAATCCCAATGATTCATTAGAATTCCCATAAATGCTGAATTATAGCCCCTACTTTGGTTTGTTGAAACAAACCTCATTCCCTTCCATTTGTTTTGCAGTGTCTGCTTTATGGTACCACAATGAATTTCACACACACACAACTTGACAGCTTTAAGGTTATTAAAGCCTTTGCAAATGCTTGTTTTGTCAAGTTGCACATGCTCCCTTCCCAGATTTACCAATTATGCTTTCAATACATCACATTAACAAGCATAAAAAGATGTTGTTTCTAARTCTACAAAATACTGTTCAATAAGAAAAAAAAAATACCCTAGAGGAGTACAACCACCATTTAGAGGRATTTGATTAAAAATGAAACACTCATAAGGCTAGGCAGGGTTCAATACTTTGTTTTATGGAATGTGCTGGGATATTGTACTGGACAAGTAATCTACAATTCATGATGCACTCTGTTTAGAACCCTGCAATCAATAAAGAAAAAAGAATCAATGTTTCTTTTAATAACTATGCAATGAATAACACCAGTGATGCTCCTGGAGAAGGGGTGCATTCAGAGTAACTTCTAGGAAACTGAGTTATTTTTCCTGCACCAGAGAAAACATCGTAAACTGCACAAGGATGCAGTAATATATCTTGAAATATTATAGATCATTCAAGCTGTTAAGGTATAGTTCAGGTTTCCAACTTAACATCATTAAAAACACTCAGTAAAGCACAGTTATTGCATTAGCTGTATTTGTGACAATATTTTAAACAGAGAACTGYATCAAATGGACACAGTCAGAGGTTGTTTTTATCTATTTTTCATTTTGCACAGTGCTGAAATTTATCTGACACATTAGATACCTTTTTGCTTTCCTTCAGACCTGCTCAAAGAATAACTTCTGATTATTTGATAACCAAAATAAACAAGTATATAAATTTTTTCTTGAGTGGGACCTTAAGTTGCTTTCGACTCCAAGTCCCACAGAGCCCTAAGAACACGCCCTAATGATTTTCCAATCAGTGTGATTAAGTGCTGTCTTTAAAATCTGTTTACTTCCCACAATTTATGGGGGATTTCAGACAGAGCAGCACATCTGTGCTGGTGCTGAAAAGGGGCTGGAACACACAGTGGGATCAGCAAAGATAAAACCAGCAGAGAGAAGGGTTCTGCACATTCTGCCTGAGCCCAAATCCAGCCTGGCCCAAACTGCTGCTTCCAGGAGGAAAAGGGTTCCTCCCCCACAATCAAACACTGCTGAAGCCAACAAACCTTTGGATCAACCAGAAGGAAACTTCTGTGCTGTTSAAACTATGAAAAATGCTCAGAAGTATTTTTTAGTAATTTCCTCTGGTTTATGAGCAGCTCTTGAGCTACATTTGATGACTACACTGATGTGTCACCAGAATTTTCCAGACTTTAAAACACCCTGAAAATACTCCCTCATCATTTCACATACAAAATGAGACAGAATTTGCTTAAAGGCTTTTTTTAGTCTCTGCTTCTTTGCTCATGCACCAGAGAAAGGATCACTTTAGCAGGGAAAGAGAAAAGAACAAAATCTGCTTGTCCTTGAGTGATCTGCTTTCAATCAAGGACCCTTGAGGGCTCTGAGAACAGGTTGGGGTTTGTGATACAACAGCACAACCCCAGTTATTTTATTGTCTCACTCAAACTGCAGAGCAGCTCTTATTTCTGATGAACTGCTCCACTTCCACCACTGAACCATAAAATAACACAGAGATCCCAGGGATTTCACACAGAGACCACAGGGATTTCAGCCTTTGTCTGTTGGCATCACATCCTCCAGTGATTCCAGGGATTTATGGAACGCTTCCTAAAAGATCTGCCATTACAAAAATGTACAAAACCCTTCCCCACGTGCTCTTACCTGGCTTCCTCCAGCACTGCTCCCATCACCTGACGTTTCTCTTTACATTTGATATCTTCATTCACATCTGTCCCACCAAAGATGATTCCAAAAGGAATTCTGCTACCTGCAAAGAGAAGTTGGCCAAGRTAATGGCCAGGAGTGAAAAAGTACATTATGATAATACTGAATCACAGCCATAAGGAAATATCTTTGAAAAACAAACCTGAAGAAAGTTGAATTTTAATTTTTTTTTTGCATTGAACCCCCCACTTTCAGAGTACATGTCAGTCTGTTCTGGGGCTAGGAGATTTTATYTCCTATTTCTTAGTAAAAACAATCAATTGGATTCTGAACCTGGCAGCCCACCCCACAGCACACAGGTTTAAATGTTTTTCCCATGTTAATAAATTTTAGCATTGCAAAAGCTGTCCCAGGTATCCAGTCCAGCCCCTCCTCACTGTGCCTGGGGTAACTGTCCTGCAAGGCTGAGCACTGAAATTATTAATTTATTTAAATATTGCCTTCTGAAGTCCATTTACTCCCACAAGAAATAGAGATGGAGCCACACTGCTGGAAAAGGTCACCAGAATAAACAAGGCACGGGGTGTCAACCTGTGGTAAAATCATAGTTTTGCCTAATTCTGCCCCAAAAAGAGGAGTCAGAGTCTGTGARTGTTTGCTAGAAAACCTTCTGTGATCATCCAGGAGTGACAAACACACCCAGGAGTGCCAGGCACTATAARCTCAGGCTTTCTGCAAACCACAGAACAAACTGGGTGGGCACTGCTGGAGTCTCCAAATGAACACCACAGAGCTGAGATCTGACAGAAGGATGGAATTAAGAGCCTTTTTTCCAATGAATAGATTTATAAAATACAAAGGTGGTCTCAAAAAACAAGATGAGCACTTGCAATTYCAGCAGGTGACAGTAATTCTGAAAGCCAGTGCTTCCAGTGGGTCATTAAAGGCAGGCTCAAAGTTTTGTTCTACGTGGCTACAGAGAACAGAAAATTTCATTATTTGTCTGATAACATCCACTCTCCTGTAGTTTAGCTGACAGGAATGACAGGAATGTTATTCCATGTTAAAAAACCCTGATTCATTTTTGAGTAGAAAAATCAAATTAGCCTCCCTGCTTTCTTCCATGTGACCTCAGCTCTATTTAGCCAAGCCATTGTCCTCTGAAAGCACACATTTACTGAAAGTATCCCCCTGTTAATAAAATGCTCTTATCCTGATGTAGTTAAAGTACTTGATTACAAAAAGCACTCTGTGSTTTCAAAGTACATTTATTTAGTGCTCTCCTCTCTGTAGCAGAGCTCCCGTGGAGAAAGATTTTTAGCATTTCTGAACATTTGCTGAAGTGGATAAACAGAATAACGACGTTGTGTGGGGGKTTGTGTATTTATAGCCATTTCTGGCAGTTAGGATTCCTTCTCTTCCCATGCACTACTTTTTCAAGAGGAATTTTTACAGCAAAGTAGAAAGAGGATTACCTTGCAGAAGTCTKCCTCCTTTATAGAGATGAATGGCCAGGGCTGCATCAAACTTGTCTGTGGAGGTCAGATTTGCTATTTCAGCTGGACTTTCATACATGAAAGCATCTTTGAGGACACAGSTGTGACCTGCAGCATGTAGGTGATTCCTTCATTGTGGGAACAAAAGAATAAAGAAGTCACTATTAATGTTACAGGCACACTTGTATGTTAAGTAAACTTAATCACAATGTTTTTCCTTTATAAACTTTGCTCTGACATTCAATTTTATGTCATTTTTTCTCAATCAGCTTTTTACAAGGCTGTTTTTTTTCCTGGAAGGTATTTGTTTCCTTCACCAGTGTGAAGCCACAGACACATTTCCAAGCACTACAACATCTTGTCAAAATAACTTCTAAAAATCAGCAGAAATGAAGAATGGCCAGGATCCCTTCTGAAAATCAGCAGAAATGAAGAATGGCCAGGATCCTCCCTTTCTGAGCTTCAGCTCCTTTTGAACTGAGTGTGGCAGACCTTGCTCTGAGAGATTCTCACACCCTTGCTCTGGAGAAAGGACACCAAGTAGAGAAAGCACAAACATGTCCAGCTAAACATACAGAATATCAGAAATAATACATCAAAAATCCACAGTTGAATTGTGTTCCCTTTCTGTTGGATTGTGGGCTTAGTATTTTCTCATCTTAGCTCACCATTTATAAACCAGGCGAAGGATAATTGAAGAATAAGCAAAAAATGACACAAAAGTAATGACACAAATACCTGCACACCCTGCTTTAAAAATCTTGCCAAAAAGGGAAAAAAAAAAACCCAAATCCAACAATAAACCCCTCTCAGTGTCAGCTTTCCCATTCATCTTTAGAGACAATGGTTCCTCAGAGTGAAATACTGATAAAAAAAGCTGCCAAAGTCAAGAAACTGATTGATTAGAGACAGCTTTATTCCTCTGACTGAAACATCACTTATCAATGCTCCCAAGAACATCAGCCAAAAAAACAGACAGGAGAAAATCTGTGCTTTGACAGACACCAGCACACTGTCCCTGCTGACGTGTGGTGTTTACATTTTAATATCATAAAAAGACCACAAGAATGTTTGCTGCTTATTCCACATTGTTCCACTTGATTTATTCCTCGTGGTGTATTAATAGTTGTGGCATTAAAATCCTGCTAACTCATCGGCTTCCCGGATAACGTCAGCTCTCATTTCCTCATCCTTTCCTCCCAAGGAAAGTCATTTTCTGTCCTGCAGAAGTTACTCATTACTGCAGAAATTGGTGCTAAAAGTGTTGTAAAATGTCTGGAGGCCTTGGAAGGAATGTATTAGCACCACATCAGACAGAGCTCCATCGACACAGCATATGGTGCTGTAATTCTTCCTTATCCMAAAAAGCAACTCCTTTAACTCCACTGTTTGAAACAAGACCAATAAATTCTAATAAATACTAATAAATAATGAAAAACAACCACCTTTTAAGCTCCTTATTTACATCAGTTGCCCCACAAACTGGTTCCTCCTGGAATATTCTCAATTTCTACCTAAAGAGCCATGCCCCAATCTCACAGCTGTGGAAAGAAAACCTCTCGGGCAAATATTCAGGATGCTCGTGCCTGCAATTCCAGAATTTCACAGGTGCTCATTAAAGAGTTTAAAAGGATTTTTTCCCATCAGTATTCCAATTACCATAAATCACTATCATGTACGAGCAAGATGTTTGCATATTACAATTAATTTGAGAATAACTCTCTCGGGATATCAGGGATCAAGAAATTCAGCTAGGAATTTCAATCCAAAGGTGTCTTTTTTTTAAAAAATATACTGGGAATGTCTACTTTTCCTCCACAGTTTCCAGAGCTCCAAATCTCACTGGGGAATGGCAGCTGCTCCTGCAGTAAATAGAGAGGGACTCCCTCAAGTGTTCCAAGCCTCACAAATTGTGGATYACCTCTCTTACTTCAAAATTAATTTTTCTTACAGATTTTTATTCTACTCAGAAGCATGTAAAAAAATTTGCATGCATCTTTAGAAGGAAAAATTACCAAATATTCCCAGAATAATTCAAATTCCCAGATCTAAAGAGTAAACATTCCACTGAGTTCAATATCATTAGTCACAGGCTTCAAATTATGCATATATGGAAATACATGTGTGTGGAAGCAGAGTTATTGGGTAGTATTTAAATACTGAAATTTACAGTGTTATTTCCATATTTTCTAAATGACTTTTCGTCTTTATAGCCAAAAAAAAAAGCAGACTATGATTTTCACACATATGCTGTTACCAAGGAACACGATTAGAGAGCGCTGCAAAGTTATTGCAGGAGATTTTTTTTTGAAGATTGATCTGTTTATGAAGTCACAGATGTCCCTGAATGAAGCCAAGACAGAGGAGACACATTACCCATTTTTCTCCTCCTGGCAACTGTCTATTCACATTATTTTGCCATTTCATAAACAAATACTTTCTGAATGAGAAGTCAAAATTAGCACAGCTCCTGCTGTCTGACAATCAAAGACAACCCTGAAAATGCCACATCTCAAGGCTACACTTCCTCTCTATCCAAGTTCTTAATACAGGAGTTAAATTTCCAAGTAAATGTCGTGACAAACCATGGATCTAAAATCTGCCTTGCCATATTGTTCCCTTCTACCAAAACTCTCATGGAAGCCAATGCAATGACTTGGGGAGAATAATATTTCTAAAATGGAGTTGAGCTGTCAGATCCCAGATTTTGGGTGTTTTCCTGGCACGAAACCATCATGGAGAACTTTAGGCATTCAATAAACATCAAAGAGCATTTTTTTATGCACATTATAGTGGTCACTGCTTACACTGGGATATTTATACACATCTGAATATTGGACAAAGTCCCACTGATTTTAGTATTCAGGAAATTAATTTTTCTTTCATTATATTTTTACACTCTTTAGAACTCACAAAGCTTTTAAGTGAAACTTCTGAGTGTGTTCCCTGGACCTATCCTGTGTACAGAAATGCTGCTAAAAGGTACAATCCTTTTCTGACACATTTTCACTCTGAGATTTCTATAGAAAAAAAACCATTTTCCTGTAACACATCTGTGAAACACCAAGCGATGTTTTACAATGTTTAATTTTTTATTTCCTACATTATTGATCACCACTTCTCACTTTTCCTGGCTAGCAGTCTTGCCTCCTTCAACAGGAATCTGCAGTTCACAGGTTTTCGTATAAGGAAAGACGTTCAGAGTTCCCAGCACAGCCTGGCTGATGAGAAGGAGCAGGAGTTCAAAGTGTGCTCACTTCTAAAGTATTATGGTTGTGAAACTTCTTCTATTTTCTGTGATCTCTTCCTCCCCAAAACATTTATCTTTCCTCCCCAAAACATTTATGTTCTAAATTTCAACTGACACTGAATTAACGGTATTACTTGCAGACAAAGAATGTTTGATTTCCCAAAAGTTCCTGGTAGGTGGATACACTGACACTTCTTGAATGGCACAAAATAGGCTTCATCCAAAAATATTAATTATCTCTTCCCCTCAGCTGTCTGTTCTGCCAAGCAGCTGTGCACCAACGACTGGTAAATGTATATGGCACAATTCAGAGCTTGTTAAATGAGCAGACCCATTTAATACCTCTCACAAACTTGGCCAGACCTGAATTCTCACAATTCCCCTGAAGCTGATTGAATTGCAAGAGCTGAAACCCTGCTTGAGCTTCTGTTTTCTTTGTAAATGATCTTATTTTTTCATACTTGTTAAAGCAGCACGTCCTTCACTTTATTTCCCTCTCAAACCTCTCCTTGAAACAACAAATTGTATCATCACAAATGAACTATGAATACATATATGTATATAAAATAATATATATATATATATATATAAAAATGAATATATCCCTGCCCTGGAGGGCTCCCCTGTGGGACTGTAACAGGGCAGACAGGGGAAGACTAAACAGAAGGAATGCTTGGGCTCAGAATGACTCCAATAAATGTCTAATCTAAAGAACAATTGTCAAGAGSGATGATAAGCGTCGCTGAATTTGTTGTTTTAATTCTCTCACAGCTGATTACCTGGAGATTTACAGAATGGCTATCTCAACTGGCCAGTTAATGAGAGCCAAAACAACTTCTCCCTCTCTAAAAAATGTTTATATATTGGCAAAATACTTAATCTAACKCTTTCTAATTAACCTATTAATTCTACGTTTCCATTCCTCCTAACTACCAACTAATAAAAGATGAACAAAACATTTCAAGGGGAGGGGAGATTAATTTCTTTTCTTTCTTGACACCCTCTTTGATGTCATTTCTGAGGCTGAACAATGGCAGCCTMAGCAAAGACTTTTGCTTAGTGTTGTGTTCTTTATTCATTGCTCATCTTTTTTAAGGTGATTAAAGATTGCACACCAATAGGAATAAAGCTCAGAGTACATTCATTATGCCACTTGTTTYAGCAAGTTGATTTTAAGCCAAATTAGATTCTGGTACCTTTGTCACCACTTACTTTAAACTCAGGAAATGAGCATCATATTTATGAAAAGATGAAGCAGTTATTGGAAGAGCTGTAATATCATAAACAGAGTATACMCTGTGGTATTAAACCATAAAATTAATCTATGCTGGCAAGCGTTCAACCCGGAGACAATGTCATGGTTTCATCTATACTTAACCAAAGGTTGCCATGGCTTAATGTTAAAAAAAAAAAAAGTGAACAAATAAATTCCTAAGCACATATGCAGATACAAGTGAAGCCAAATATTAACTGGAATATGTATTTTATGTGAATTTACATACACAATACAAAGTTTGCCATGGGGTGTGGCAGATCACTGTTAAAAGTGACACGCCCAAGCCTTTGGTCACACATACAGGTTTTGTTTTAAAATACTAAAAACTTCAGCTTTCCCTGGTCTTTATGCTTCACTTGCTTTCTATCTTCAGTGCCTGGGTCACAGAYAGGACCAGCAGATATGTTCTACCTTAGAAAATACAGCAGCCCAGCAGAAATGTAAGGCTGCATGTGGTATGACACAACCAGAGTGAAAACTTAATGTCAGAGGAYGTTTCTATGCATAACATCACACATGATAATACACGGATCAGGGTCAGGGAAAACTTGTAACAGAAGGCTATCCCAAGAGATTCATCCTGAGAAAAACAGCTCAACTGTGGATTACTTTTAGATAAGATGAAACCAAATCGTTATTTCAGACCTCAAGAGAACAAAACACTAGGAAATTGTTTCCTCTTTATAGTGATTTTTTTCTTTTTGAAGCTCACACGCACAGCGAAGCCCTCAGCGATGCTGTCAACCACATCCCTTTCCCACGTCATAGAAAAAGCTAAATGGGGACATTCGGAGTATTTCTGCGGTTCTGTTGGCCCGTGCAGTTCCCCGGCACTGCACACCCGTGTTTCTCATCCCCACGAGAGGAGCATGGTGAAGCCCCGCAGCAAGGGCAGCCACTGGAGCGGCTCTGGCACAGCTGCTGCGGGATGCTCGGGCACAGATCCCTCTCGGGGAGCTCCCTCCTGCCCTTCACAGTGACTCTGTGCCAGCCTGGCCATTTCCCAGCTCGGGAAAGCACTGAGCACCGGGGGCTGTGCCGGGCTGCGAGGGGACCCGCGGGGAGCGCAGCCCGTCCTGCGCCAGCCGAGCGGACCGAGGGGATGGGGATGGGCTCCGGGAACCCCCGGCTGTCCCTGTCCGCACACGGGGACACGGGGGACGGAGCCGGGCTCTGGGGAACCCCTGGCTCTCCCTGCCCCGCACCGGGGACACCGCTCCGGGAACCCCCGGCTGTCCCTGCCCCTGCTCCGCACCGGGAACCCTCGGCTGTCCCTGCCCCTGCCCGCACCGGGGACACGGCGGGTCGGGCCAGGCTCCGAGGAACCCCCGGCTGTCCCTGCCCCGCACCGGGGACACCTCTCCGGGAACCCCCGGCTCCCTCTGCCCGCACCAGGCACACGGGGGATGGAGCCAGGCTCCGGGCACCCCCGGCTCTCTCTGCCCGCACCGGGCACACAACGGATGGAGCCAGGCTCCGATGAACCCCCGGCTCTCCCTGCCCGCACCGGGCGGATGGAGCCAGGCTCAGGGGAAGCCCCGGCTCTCCCTGCCCGCACCGGGCACACGGGGGATGGAGCCAGGCTCCGATGAACCCCCAGCTATCCTGCCCGCACAGGCGGATGCAGCGGGCGCGGTGCCCGGGCAGTGCGGCGGGGGCGGTCCCGCCGTGTCCCCGGCCCCTCGGGTGGCTCGGCCGCCGCCCCCCGCACACCCCCGGCTCCGTGCGCCGGCGCGGGCACTGCATGGCGGGCGGGCCCGGCTCTGCTTTCCCGGCCCCGCAGGGCCCCTGCCCGCCGTGGGGGCTGCACGGACAGCCTGGCCGCGGGGCCGGGGCTGCCTCTCGCCGGTGCCCGCGGGGAGCAGCGCAGCACACCCCGGTCCGCGATGGCGGCGGGCACTTACTGGATCCTGGCGGCCGTGGTGGCGTTGCCGGTCTGCGCCCGCAGACACGCCAGCAGCAGCAGCCTCATCGCGGCCCCTCCGCCTCCTCCTCCTCCTCCTCACCTGCCCGCGGCTCCCGGAACTGCGCTGCGGAGCGGGGCCGGAGCGCCGAGCCACCCTGGGCCCGGCTGTGCGGGGACGGGCCAGCCGCGCCAGGTGGCCCCGGGCACAGGGCAATTGGCTACCGAGCCAGGTTTGGGTGCCTTCCCACACCTCTAAATAGCGCTGTGTKTTCATTAGGCAGCCACGGGGATGACGCGCTCAGATCGCGGCCAGGGAAACACGGATTCAAGGCCTCCTGTGAAGAGCACACAGAGGGCTGGGAGCAGCCGCTGCCTCCTCATGTGCTGCCATGTGCCTCCCATGAGGTGCTTCATGCTCGCTGCAGGGCTATGGTTAGGAAAAACTAATTGGAGATAAGAGGCCAACAACCACAAGAGCCAGAGGAATGTGCTAGTCCAAAGAACAAGGCAGCGGGATGGTCAAAGACCACTCCAAACACGAGGAATTCCACATGATAAAGCAGAGCCAAATGTGTGTGAGACTGRGGGAGAGATCTGCTGAAAAAACACAGCCTCCATAGCAGCAGGCAAAATCCAAAGACACAACAGGGAAGAGAAGAAGAACTAACCTGAACTCTGCACCAAGAAAAACATCTCCCAAAGCAGCAAGCTCATCTTTAGGATAAAAGGATTCAGCTGTGTGGGGCTGCAGGCAGGGAGAGGCCAGGTTAGATCCTGTTAGAGGACTGATAGGAAACAGGTGGCTGTGGATTGTGATCACCTGTAAACAGCTGATCAGAAATACCCACAGAGCTGAACCTGTTCCAGCATCTTGTACAAATATTGTACAAATATCCGTGCTTGCTTCCACAAAGGCTGGAGAAGACAGGGAAATGTACTCTTCAAAACTGCAGTGCCTGGTTTTTGTGGCCTAAATTACTCTTCAAATTTCAATGTCAGGTATAGGGATATTAAATGTAAGCATTTTTGARACAGTGCTTCTTYCAATAATTTCTGTAGATTTCTGAGKRTAACAGGTATTYTGRAAKTGAGGGTTTAGAAGTGATAAAMACATACTGGAGTGGGTTCTGGCAARCTGTAAACATTTTGGTAGGCAGGCTCATGTTTTGCTAATGAGCTTTTGCAAAGCTGTGTTAACTGCATCTCACCGAGTTATCATTTAGATTCAGCACAACATTATTTAGACCACTTCAAACTCCATCAGAATAAAAAAAATTTGGCTACAGAAGAGCAACAAATCCTGCATAAATGCTAAAAATAGGGCAAATGCTAATTTAAGGGTAGGCAGAACCAAAAACAGTTACATCACCATTTTAGAAAGTGTTTCTGGCATGAAATCCTGCTCCTGTTGGAGATGCAGAGCTTTTGTCACTCTGGCCAAGATCTCGCCCCTGTACCCAGAACAGCCTGTGTAGCCAAAAATGGGGATTCTCCAGCTGCATGGCTTGAAACAGGGTGCTCAGAAAGCCATGGTTTGGGGTAACAAAACCTGTCCAATATGTTTGGTGTGCAACACAAAGAAGACAAAAACACAAACATCAAAGTAAGACAAGGCCTGCCCCATGAGAAATGAGGAAACTCAATCAGTTGTCGGAGAAATAAAGAGAAAATAAAGGAAACATTCAAAGAGATCTAAACATTTTATTATATTTGTGGTAACTCTGGTTTCCTGCTGTATAGATCTTGACTGAAAAAAACCCCAACCTGGAAGTGTGCAGAATTGTGTCTTGAAAACATGTCCTGATGTGTCCCTCTACAGACACAGATGCACTCACTGTGTTCAGAGAAAGGGTCGTGGATCTATCATAATGAAGTTTGAAATATTCTGCAGCTAAGTGATGTTTGGAGGGGAATTAAAACCTCCTTTTCTGAGCTGCTGTACTGCCAGAGAGAATGTCTGGGTTCCAATAGCAACTTCTGCATTTTAGCAACAATACCTACATTTCAGTTCCTGAAGAGTTAAATAGCATTTTTAATGTACATTTAAACTTCTGTTCAGCACTGTTAGGTGTTTGTACCAATTGTGGGACAGGTCAATATAGAAATCTCACCTCACCAGGGTAAATTATGAAGAGCCTAGAATGTGAGAATAACACCAGTAATACAAAATGTGCTTCATTACTTTGAGCCTCTAGAAAATACTACTAAGCAGAAAATGTAATCACAGTTAATATGACATACTGTATTAAGCCAGGAAAAACTGAAATGTAATTTCGTTACAGAATCAGTCATGTTACAGCAGTTCACGAGATGTCTGTACAGCTGATTGCCTTTTCCTCATTGTCCTTTGTCATGAAATTTGTTAACTAGTTAAGAGAGCAAATATATTTAATGAGTCATTTTTATGGCATATGTTATTTACAAAGGCYCATTATTAAGTGAATATATTTACTTTTACAAGCATCACTTGCCCCATTACCAAAGTAAGTCATCCCCAGATGTTTGCAGTGTTACTATATGCTACCAATTTCACTTTYTCACTGGAAACACACAAACAGGAGTGCCCCCCACTTTGTTCTGGCCAAAAATAACATTTAGATCTGCTGCTGAAGAGTATTTCATATTTTCACAGCCTTTACCTCAACATGATGATGTTCATCTTAGGGTTCTAATCTTGCAGCCACTRATTTACATTTTCTCATTTCAATCACATGCTTTGTCCATTCAGATCAGAGTGTTTGTTCTCATGTGCACCTCTGTAATTCCTGCATGCCCTCACACCCATCTGCTGTTCCCAGCCCTGAGTCACCAGGCACATTCAGCTCTTCCAAACACATATAAAACCAACCCTTTATAGCGTACATTTAATACCTGTTCCTGCTGAAAGGCCTTGTGGGACAATCTAGAGCTATAGTGTTAAATAACCATAAAAAAGCCCCCAAAGATGATTTGGGGTCTGGAGCATCTCTTGAGACTGTGGGAGTGGGGCGGGTTTAGTCTTGAGAAGACTGAGAGGGGATCTTATTAATGCATATAAATATAAAAAAGGCGGGTGCAGGAGGGTGGTGCCAGATGCTTTTCAGTGGTGCCCAGCAACAGGATSAGGAGCRATGTCCATAAACCAAAACACAARTCCCACATGTAGAACTTTTCGAGGATGGAACAGCTGCCCAGGGAGGTCGTGGATTCTCTCCGGAGACATTCCAAACCCACCTGGACGCGTTCCTGTGCCCCCTGCTC